ACGTTTTAAGAGAGAGCCCTAATAAAAAAAAATGCCGCATTTTCTTTCTTCTGTAATACACATTTCATCTATATTCTTTATGAGTCCACCCAAAACTCCAGAAGTCTAGCAGAGATGGGGACCAAGAACACGAGCAACAATTTATAAATGTACCCCTATATTTTTATAATTTATAAATGTACCCCTATATTTTTTATAATTTACAAATATACCCCTATATTTTTTAAATTTAAGCGTATCCCCAAGTGTCCGTATCCTAGTTTTTTGGAAATACCGTATCAATGTCCGCGTATCGCCGTGTCCACCTATCCGTGCAACATACTCTCTCCGCACCTCCACTTACAAGCCATTGTCACGGGCTTTTGACAGCAAATATGAAGATCAGGAGCGTGGCGGCTGTGGGCCCGTCCCATGGCATGTTACAGCACGGAATCGATTTCCAGGACACGGGCTGGGCCGGGGTTCCGGAGATAGATCTTGTTTTTTGCTCATTTCATTACAACAAGAGTGTGTGCTGCATTTATAAATTGTCAAGTTGCTGCAAGAATGATTACAGATACTAAATTATTTGTTCAAATTCTAATTACACTGTGTAATCCCACTACAACATTATATATTTATATAACAACAATTGAAAAGGAGAGACACATGATAAATGATAAACTCTTTGTAATAAGATATACATCTGATTCTTACAAGATGGCCTTTATTGCACATGGACAGGATGATTACCTATTATAAAAGCATGAAACTTTAAGAAAATGGTACCTTTATTCATGGTGTGAGAGAATCTTTCACCACGCCAACACAGAAATAACCAGAAATTTACCAAGAATGCCATTCTTGCAGCTCCATAAATACTCACTCGAAAGTCGAATATATATCAAACTATAACTCTTTTACCAATTATTATTATGATGGCTTCTTTCTTGAATTATATCGTCGTCTTCTTCTTCTTCGCCATCCTCGTTGCTTCTACAAGCGCTCAAAATGTCCCGACGCTCCCCATCCGAAAAGACCCGAAAACTCGACAATTCTACACCACAATACACATGGGCAGCAATCGAGCCGCCATAAACACCGTCATCGACCTCGGTGGGCCCTTTTTATGGTTCTCGTGCAACGACTACTCGTCAACCACCTATGCCCCGATTCCATGCGGGTCCCGCAAATGCCAGCTGGCGAAAGGATCCGGCTGCGTCGGGTGCAATTTACCAAAACGCCCCGGGTGCACCAACGACACGTGTGGGGCGACGCCTTACAACCCTTTCATGAACTTGCTCTTCGCGCAGGGGTTTAACGAGGACTCATTTTACGGGAGCAAAGATGGAGCCGGGCCGGCGGCGGTGGTTCCGCGGTTCCTGTTTTCTTGTATGGATAAGGATTCGTTGGAGGGGCTGGCGAGTGGGGCCACCGGCATGTTGGGGCTCTCCAGGAGTGAAATCTCTTTTCACAAACAGTTGGTGGGCGTCTCTAAATTGCCTCATAAATTCTCCATTTGCTTTCCTTCTTCTTCTTCAGGGATTGGGAAGTTATTAGTCGGCGGCGGCGGCGGCGTATACAACAACATATTATTGAAGTCGACGCCGCTGATTGTGAACCCTGTGAGTACGTATCCGATTTACTCAGAAGGCGATGCGTCGGAAGAGTACTTCATCGGAGTTGAATCGATCAGGGTCGCCGGAGAAACAATCTCCGTCAAGGAATCACATTTCACAATCGACAAAAAGGGAGACGGCGGTACGAAGATCAGCACCGTACAGAACTTCACCGCGCTGCATAACTCCATCTACAAGCCGTTCGCCAGGGCGTTCGTGAAGGCGGCGGCGGATTTGGGGATCAAGAGCGTGGCGGCCGTGCCGCCGTTCCGGGCATGTTTCAGATCGGACACGATTACCAGGTCGCCGGAGATTGATTTGGTGTTTCCCGGAAAGGATGTGTACTGGAGTATTGGTGGAGCAAATTCGATGGTTGAGATTGATCGGAAAACCAGCTGTCTTGCATTTGTGGACGGTGGATCGAATCCAAGGAGCTCGATCGTGATCGGAGGGCATCAAATGGAGGAGAATTTGTTGGAGTTCGATCTGCTGAATTCTCAGCTTCGATTCAGTTCTTCCCTTCTTGTCCAGAACAAGAGTTGTTCCAGCCTCTAAGTTTTTATTTTTAATTTAGCATAATTTAAGGATGACGTGGAATATCTGTCTTTGCATAATTTGTCCACAAATAATCGATTCGGCTGGATTATAGCCCAACTATAAATGTTTGAAATTTTAATGGGTTGTTTGACTTAAGGGTGTAAATGGAATGGGCCGGCTCGATATTTTTTGAGTTCGAGCTTTCTGACAAATCGAACCCGATCTTATTTTTAATTGGCCGTAAGCTCGCGAAACTTTTAATTTTATTTTAAATATAATTAATATAAAATAAATAATTAATTCATAAAAATAATTATATGGCATTTTTTATTTCTAATTTATAATAATAAAATTCTAATAATATAATAAAAATGAGTAAAATTTTAAAAAAAATATATTAATAAAATTTTAAAAGAAGACATAAAATGGTTCAAGCTCGAGCCCAAAAATAAATATTTGACGACCTCGAGCTCGACAAAATGGATTCGTCTCGAAAATAACGTTTACATTTAGTAACATTTTCATTTGACTCGACAAAACATTTAGTTAAAGTTCAAATGTTAACATGAGACCAAGAATTGCATTTTTTATACACTTAACTAAATGTTATTGAACTTAAAATCACTATTTTGCCACTACCTAATAAACTTTTTTTGTGCATCAAAGTATCATTGAGACAACTAATTTCTATATAAAATAATGCCATTATAATAGTACTAGTTGGTATTTATTGTTGATAAAGAGTGCTGATCTGGATCTTAGTCAGACCCGATAGCCCAAATCAAGAATGTGGATAAGTGGATATGCTTCAACACTTGAAGTAAATCAAAGCATATTCTTTTTTATTTACATATTATCTTATTTCATATATAGTAATGTGCTAATACTGAAAAAAGAATATTCTATTGGATGATAGCCTGATATGCTTTTCTTTTTTTCCCTTTGATGATATTTTCACACACATACCAAACACCATCTCAAAAAGTAATTAGCACATGTTAATCACATGGGCTTATTCAATGTTTAGTGAACTAACACTTGTATTGCTAATAGTTGTCATTATTCAAAGTTTAGGAAATATGCAATGTTGCCTGAACCGGACCGGACAGGTTTGACTGCAACCCGACTATGACTTCTAAAACTGGAAAAATTAAAAATCGGGGACAAATCACCAAAATTCGGTTCGACCGAGTAAAACTTGGGAACCGGCGAACATGACAAAGAACCCGATTTTCGACCTAAACAACTCAAACCACTGGTGGAGTTGGTTATATGTGGCTGGATCTTAAGCGAGTCTTGACGGAATTAGCTGTGGATGACAAGATATGGTCATGGCCTCATGGGTAGTCGAATCGGGGGGACGAATTGCCGATATGGTCATGGATGGGCGAATACGGTGGCGAATTACCGGATCTAGTGAAGAAATAATGAACATATTTAAACTGAAAACGAAAGAAATATAGTAAAAAAAAAAAAAAAGGGTGAGTTGGATAAAAGTGAAAACCATTGAGACTTAAAAAAAAAATCAAAAATCAAAAACCCAATTGAACCGGTTCGATCCAATCGAACCATGATCCAAATGGTCGTCCGTTCCATAGCCGGTTCGGTTATGTCAACATTACAAATATCTTTTCCGGGGGTCACTATAACAAATCTCAACTTTTGCTTACTTGAATACTACCAAGTTGAAAACTACAATTGAGTACATATTTATAAGTTTTTTTCTTACTTTAATACCAAAATAAAAAGAAAAGTACAAAAACACCATTTCATACAAAATATCAATTATAACAATTTTTTTTTTGAATTTACCTATTTTAAAACCAAATAAAAAAAAAAACCCTTTTCTTTCAAATTCCCTCCACCGTTGCTCCTCCTCCCCACTGTCGTTACCGCCGCTGCAACCCTCGCCGCCGCCGAACGCCGAAACCTCCATTGTTATCAAGCCGCCGCCGCCGCCTTTGTTATACAAGTAATATTTGTTTTCGATTTTTTTTTTCTTTAATATTTATTTAGGATTTGATTGTTTGATATGGGTAATTAGGATTTGATTGTTTTAGGTAGGAATGATCGTTAATTAGTAATGGATGCTTCTAATTTCAGTCGATTTGAGCATTGATTTGAGATTCGTGGGTCGGTTCTTCGTTCACAAAACTCGACCTGTATATGTCGATTTTTCAGAATTTTCGACAGATTGATGTCGAAAATTCTGAAAAAATCGACATTTAGTTGTCGATTTTTGTGAAAACTTTGAACTTAATGTTTGATAATTTGACAGAACACTGTCGAAAATGGGTAGAAAAATCGACAGCTAGCTGTCGAATTTTCTACC